TGGCTGGAAAATGTGCTTTATGTTTAAATGTAGGTCTATATTGAAAATTTTTAGGAAGTGTTTTTATTCATCAACTTGGTTGGAAAACTTTTCAAAATATCCAAAATCAATGTGTCAATTTTCTGCATGAAAGATACATATCTTTTGACTACTTGAAATCGAGAGGAACCATTTTACGAAAACTAAACTAAATTGTCAATTTTTTTTACCGAAGCAAAAAAGTCTATTTTCAGCCTATTACTTTGGAAAATGTGGTAAAGGGCTATTCAAAATCTCGAATAAAACATTTGTAAAAGGTTGTTTTATATCTATTAAAAGCCAAGTTACACCTCCATTGAAAATGTTTTTCGAGTACCTTCCGATAACTCATTATTAGAAGTCCGTTGCTTTCGATTTCACTCCCGAGAACTTTTTAATTGGAGTACACAAGAGCACGAGTTTTAGAGGAAGTTTTCTCTTTTCTATTTTGTTTTATGTGGAAGCGCTCGCGAGTATCACTGTTTGAAAAATAAGAGTAGGAGTGAAAAGTTTCCGAATAGAGTAAGAGTTTACTCTATTATTACTAATTTGTTTTTATACCCTCAGTCATATGGCTGGAGAGGGTATATATCATTTGATACGGCCAAAACGTGCTTCATCGAAATAAAATCCATTTCAGGACATTTGGAGTCGATCTAGCGATGTCCGTCCGTCTGGCTGGTGCGCACGATAACTCTCTAAGGGAGTATCCGATTTGGTCCACACTTGACTCGTAATATATTTGTCAAACTTAGATCGAGTTCAGATATGGGCAATATCGGTCCACTTCTTCTGGTACCTCCCCCATAAAAGGTTGAAATTCTCCAAATACAAAATATTTTACTGCACAGAAAGATAAAGGATAATCCGATTTTTCTTCAACTTGCAACAACTAGTTCAGGTGAGAAAATTCACAATATCGGCCTACTCCATTAAGTACCCACAAAGGTCAACATTTTCAATAATTATAACTCTTATAAAATGTGATGTAAGTGTCTGATTGTCTTCCAATTGTACACATCAAAATTTTAATAATTGGGTTAATAACCTAAGTCCAGTGTGAAGATGGGATATATCGGTCGTCTCCTTCTGAGAGTCAAAGTTTTGAATAACCAAAACTGTTATAAAAGCCAAAATAGGCATCCGGTTCTCTTCATATTTCCCACATCCCATTATTTCTACTAACAAAATATCTGCAGTAAACTTGAGCAATATCGGTCCACTCCTTCTGGTACCCACTTAGGGTCAAAATTTTGAATATCCGTAAAGTTCATAAAGAGGGAAATTAACATCCGATTCCATGCAGACTTGGCACAAATCATTTTTTCTATCAGCACAAGATCTGTTATAAAGAAGGTTGAGATCGGACCATTTCTGAAAAACAAAACACTATTTTGCCAATACCAATATTTTTATTTGCATTAGATGAAATGTAACAATGGAATACTTCGGTCGATATATCTGGTACATCACGCATATTTCAACATTTTCCAAAAAATGTCACATATCTGATATAAAGTAAAGGAAGTAGTCGATGTAGTCCAACCCTGGCACATCGTAACATTTATATCATATTTATTTAGGACCCATACGAAATGGACAATATTGGCCCATTCCTTCGGAACCTACTCCATAGAGGGTCAACAATTTGAATAATCATAACAGAAGTCAAAATATATTTAAATAATGGAACATTGGCTGAGGGTATACATGCAAAACCGACTGATATTTTCTAACTTATTGTATTGCTGATTGGTTTTATACAGATTGTTCTCAAGGCTCTTCAATAAATTTTTTTTCAATTAAAATTTTTCTCTACGATTCAAATAATTTAATTTATATGAAATGGCTTTTCGTGTATAAATCGGTTTGTTTTTATTCTGTTCCAGCACTCCAAGAATGTAAAAATTTTACTACGATATCCAATTCTTCTTTTATGAATATCGGTGTCATTATGTCAAAATTTTGAATATCCACATAATTGTTGCTGTTTAATTTTTTACATTTCACAGTGAATTCAGTCTGGTCTGTTGATTTTTATTCGCAATCTATATAGTGACATTTTATCTACTTAAATTCAACTTGAACTTGATCTATGAAAGTATTCTTATAAATAACCAAATTCTTCACATGCCTGCTATTTTTACCCCCTCAAACATCTCTTATTATAGTTTCCCTGCCATCAAAACAAGCACTATCTGTTTAATTACGAGTAAAACACTGAGATTTTTCAAACATGTCAATTATTTTTTTTTCTTCACTCAAAGATTTGATTTCATATCACAGGTTGCCATTTCTTATCAAACGTTTTTTTTTTCACGAACAAGCACGCCACCGTGATAACGTAACAGATAAAAAAAAGTAACAGCGTACGCGTTAATACTCTTTAAATATAAACGTCTCAAAGTGATTTATTTGCCCGCCACTATATTGGGTGAATTTAAAATTTCCGTTAATGGTAACTACCACCCGTTACCCTCACCTCTTTCCTCCCTCCATTCGAACCATTGTCTAATGCAAAAAAAGCGAAAACTTTCCCACCGCCGCCACCGCACACAAATCAAACGTCACTACTCGCAGCAGTATGTCATCACTTTCGCGCACAAAATCATTGAGAATTTCTTCAGGCAATGCAAAATCAAAAATGGCAGCGCCACTACGCCGCTGCACACCCAACTTGAATGTGTTTTATTAGGCCATTGTTGCTGTTGTTGCGTTCGGGTTTTAATTGTATTCAAAATTGATGATGCGTTGTATTCGCCATTAAATGTTGTAATAATAATTGCTATAAAACAGCCAACAACAGCAACCACAACTATTAACAACAACAACACAAGCAGCGGCATCGTTTGGAGAATAACAAAAAAATAATCAGTATTTTGGTATGCAATGTACGAATTGTTTTCTTCTCGTCGATTACGCAAACATTGTCGGAACGACGAACGAACCAACCAACAAAACACAATTTTTGTTTTTTAAGGTTTTCGCCGCAATTTTTCAAATCAAATGGAATTGAATTGAATTGTTTAGCAGTCGCTCTTTAGAAGAAGCAGAAGTGGCGAATGAATAAGTGAATAATTACTACTTGGAATCCGTCCATCCGTCTGCCGACAACAATAACAACAAAACAAACCCATTTTAGGCAGCTGAAAACAAAACTTCCAAATGTGTCTTCTGTTTTGTGAAATGAAGAAATCCCAGCCATTGATGTGGGGGCCAACACCGGCACCATCCGCCGCCGTTTAGTACTTAACCCGGCCAACAATGAAATCGTAAACAAAACTGTTTCAAAATTAATAACAAAACGTGCTAATGATGAATAAAAAGTGTTTCGCAAACGATCGGTTTTAATGCTCCTGCCATTATTTTTAGTCCGATGGTGATGATGATGATGATCACAAAGACTTGAATGTGTTGTGTGAATGAAAAAAAAACAACAACAACAAAAATAAAAAACTTACCGAACAGCTAACAGAAAATGAAAATCGAACGCTATCCGGGTAAGGCAGTCGATGCCAGTCTATCACTGGATCGCAGTAATGCCATGGTGGAGCTGTACGAGGCCAATTGGTATCAGGCCCAACAGAGTTTTAACCAGCATCGAGGCAGCACCAGATCCGTGCCCACAACGAAGTCAATAAACGCCCCATCCACTCCGTCCAATTCGACTCCAAAGGCTGCCACTTTGGCTCTGCGCAACAATGGCGTTAGTGGAGGTGGTAGTTTCCTTAAGGAGGGTGTCTCCAGCCTCAACAAATATCAAATGACCTTGGATCAAATTCGCAGCCTCGAACGCGAGACTGCCGATAAAAATATTGTCAAAACAATTAAGAATTTAAATGCCTACAAAACAGTGGCCCTCAGACCCAAACCAAGTAAGTTAAGCTCCACCTGGGATGACTGGATAGATCCCGATGAAGACGACGAAGACGGAGGAGAATCCAACTCCAACACAAATGCCTCAAATGCAGGCACAATGAAACGTCCGGCCAGGCCACGCCAACAGATATCAGTTAAACCTCCCTCCCTAAAGAGATCTCAAACTATGGTCTACAATTCGCGACCAACAAAAATGGACTCGAATAATTCATGGTTCAGAGAAACGACACCCAACAACACTGCCACCACGACAAGTGAAGGTCAAACCACTGAAGACATTCCAACTGTGATATCCAAACAGCCACAGCCCCTAAGGGAAAAGCTATTATCCTCTCTAGACCTGAATGCTGCCAATGAGAATTTGACCAATGGTAGCAGCAATAACTGTGATAATAACTTTAAGCCATTTGCTGCCATTCGGCATTCCTCAGCTGCACCATCACCGTCCATACCATTGACCAAGTCCCGTTCCATGGCCGCTGTAAATCGTTCAAAATCGGTACGATTTCCCCCCAACTCCTCCAGCTCTTCATCAATGTTTGGACGAGAACTTCACAATCAATATCATCACACATCGCCAAGTCCCACGGCCGTCAATGGTTTTGCGAAACCCACACCACCGCCCAAACCTGCCCCCAGAAGTCGCAAAGTATCTTTGGATATTAAAGCTGATCTAACCAACTATAATACTCCCGAATTAATGTCACAACAGTTTGAAGATTTGAATTTGGAGGCAAAACATCCACATCATCACACACGACAGGCCAGTGACTCGTCGACATCGTCGGGTCACTCCTCAAACATGAGTACCAACTCAAATTCCAGTCGCAACTCTCAGAGAGCGGCCAACAATGATTTTGCCATACCCAGGCCCCGTCTAATTGTGCCCATACACACGTATGCCCGAAAGAGGCGTACGGGTAATTTGCAGGATCAAGATATTGAGACAATAGATACGACCAAAGATAATGACGAAAATGAAGATGAGGGTAAGGTCTTGGTTTCTTTTTTTTTTGCAATTGAATGTGAATAGTATTTAAATGGAAGTGAAAGTATTATTGATTTATATTAATTATGTTTTTTCTATATTTTTTTCTTTCCAGATGGCCGCGTGGAAGTTTCCCGGGAGGGTAAATACCTATCGACTTTGTCGGGCGCCAAGGTTTTGGGCGAACTGGCCATTTTGTATAACTGTCAACGTACCGCCACCATCACCGCCATAACCGAATGCAAACTTTGGGCCATTGAGCGACAATGTTTCCAAACGATTATGATGCGTACCGGTCTGATACGTCAAGCCGAATATACCGACTTCCTGAAAAGGTAAGGAAATGTATGGTTTAAGTATATAAAGAATGTTGCCCCCAACACGAAAAGTGGATGTTAAGCTCGTCTTTGTATTTGTAAAAGATCGTTTGAAGAGATAGCGAGATAGCAGAAGAGGTTGGCGGATATATATCATCTTTATAACAGATCTTGGGTCAGCAAAAATGTTTGTGAGTAAAATTTGAAGGGAGTTGGATGCTTATCTCACTTTCTTTGAACGCTTTGTTTTTTAAAATCTAAAACCCAAGTACTTGGTACTGAATGAAATCGGATTTTAATTTCGAGTTTTAAGAGCTTTATGGATATTCAAAATATTAGCCCTTTGTGGTGGAGGTACCAGATAGAGTGTACCGATTTCTGCCGTCTTTACAGCAAATCTCGTGTTAGTAGAAATAATGGGACGTGTGAAATATTAAAAGAACCGGATGCTTATTTCGGATTTTATGATCGTTTTTGGTTATTCAAAACTTTGACCCTTTGTGGTTGAGGTACCAGAAGGAATGGTCCATTTCTAGACAGATCTTGTGTTGAAAAAAATATTGAGATTTGGCAAATCTGAATCAAATCGGATGTTAATTTCCCGATTTATATCCTTATGGATAATCAAAATTTAGGCCCTTTGTGATGGAGGTACCAGAAGGAGTGCACGGATATACTCCATCTTAACACTAGACCTTTGTTTAATAGAAATATTTGGATGTGTAAAATTTGAAGACAATCGGACTCTTACATCACATTTTGTAAGGGTTATATTTATTAACAATTTCGAACCTTTGTAGGAGAGGTACTTGATGGAATGGAATATCGGTCCATTTTCACACCTGATCTAGAACTGAAGCAAATATTAGTATTTGCAAAGTACTCGTTTTTAGATCAAAACCCCAAAATAGTTCTGGGTTCTTTGGCCAAATGTGTCTTATATAGTTTTAACCACATATTATGGTACCCCTATATTTTGAGATATATTTTGCAAAATTAAGGATAGAGCTTTTAAATTTGATAGAAATCTTTGGATTACACCCAGCATTATTGCTACAGAAAATTGGTCAAATCGGCCTTGTAAGGATAACTCAGATTTCAAGTATAAGTTTTCATTCAAGAATAGTATCGGATGTTAATTTCTCGTTTTATGAGCTTCATGGATATTCAAAATTTTGACCCTATGTGGGGGAGGTACCAGAAGGAGTGGACTAATATATACCATTTTCAAACCAGAAAATGGGTTAGTAAAAATATTGTTATGTATTTTAAAACAATCGGACATTTTATAAGAGCTATAATCATTCAAAATTGTGATCCTTTGTGGGAGAGGTACTTGATGGAGTTGATCGATATTGTCCATTTTCACACCTGACCTAGCACTGATGCAAATATTAAGATTTGTAAAGTTGGAGCAAATCGGAGTATAATTTTCCTTTCTGTGCAGTAAAATATATCTTCGACCTTTTGTGTGGGAGGTACCAGATGAAATGGACCTACATTGCCCATCTCCGAATTCAATCTAAATTTGATATTTGATATATTGATATATAATATTACCATGTACCAAGTTTGACACTCCGAATCGAATACTCCGTTCGAGAGTTATCATGCGAACCAGTCAGCCAGCCAGACAGACGGACGGACGTACATCGCTGGATGGACTCCAAATGTCCTTAAACGGATTTGATCCAAAGAGACCTGGGGTCTAAAACCGTTATTTCGATGAGGCACGTTTTGAGCGTATCGAATGATATGTGCCCTCTCTAGCCATATGACTGTGGGTATAACAACAATTTCTTACCCCCTCTGCTAGAATGTTTGGATTTTGACGGTATCATATTTTTTACTCCGAAACGATAAAACCGAGTACATAATCAATTATTTTTAAAAAGGTTCATCTGAAAAGCTTCCCTTGTTTCCCTTTTTATATCGAAGATACCTTGGTTTAACACTAACCACTCTTCGGGTCAAAAAATTTCATTAAGAGATATGAGACATGCCCATATCTCAATAAGGGGGTCAATGTGTCACCTTTCATTTGGGAAATAAGCTTTTTTTGTGATATGAATAAAATCTGCATAATCAATAGAGAGTTAACATGTCCGAAACATGAATTTATGGCTCAAGAAGCTTGTTATGACTCAAATATTTTTTTGCCTATAGAGGAACTGTCCTTGTGGGTTAATTACTTACTCATCAATGGTAATCATGGCCAAAAGGCGTTTTTCTGAAATGAAGCTACTTTGTTTCATGTTCAAGACTCGCATCGATTTATGTTTTCAACCTAAATCATCCCATATACCTTTTGGATGGTGACTCATGATTCTTTACACCAGCAGAAGAAACGACAACGACACAGTTTTTAATGACTTCTTAGGGTGAACACACAAAATTTCCACATCGTTTGCTATGACACCCAAATCCAAAAAAAATAATAATAATTGTTGTATTATTATCTTCCATAAATAACGAAATTCACACATAATAGGGAGTTTCTTTTTTCATGATTACTATTTTTATTATTATTGTGAAGGAAATTACATAACTCGCACTTTTCCGCATAACCACGAAATCACTCCAATCCATTTAAGAAATACCCACCGCATTTAGTTCTCAACACTTTCAATTTCCTTGCCGCACATCATTTGACGAAATTGTGGAATTTCGTTTTTGTCCGCTTCCAAATAAAAGCATAACGACCTCAACGACGAAAGCGTTTTGTAATGCTCACCTAGCCGGGTACTAAACGCACCTACACACACACACACAGCTGATGACCATAAAAAGACATGCCAGCCAAAAGAAATACATTTTAAATTTAAGTACCTACCTTCCAAGCGATGTCTTGGAAAACGCCAACGAAATGACCTTAACCAAGCGGCTGTGGTTAGTTCGAGCCATAAACCAAGCCAACCTCCAACAGCACCACCACCCAAACCTCGTCGCGTATATTTTTTAAAATGTTGTTATATTAACATTTCTGCTTACCTTCATAAATGTTTTAGTTGTTGTTGTTTTTGTTGTTGTTGTTAGAGTGCCACCACCTTCCATTTAACAAGTCAATGTTGCTTTTTCTGCATTTTGCACAAACAACATTAAAACTGATGGATGGATGGCCGGACGGACGGATAATGTCTCCTCAGTATGTGAGGTGTATCCCCAAACTGGCCCAAACCGCTTCGATTTTATCCGCATTTCTTTTAAGTGATAGAAAACCAAACAAACAAACAAACAACCACGCAAAGCTGCTGCATTCATGGAATAGTGCGTAGATCACAACAACAACAAAATAGCGTCAACAGCAGCCTACAAAAGTGAAATCAATGTTGATATCAAAACAAAAACAAAGCAAAAACACGCATTGCCATTTAAGAGACTCTTTAGGCTGGCTGCAAGTCAACCATCGATAACGCTTACAATGTTACGCTAATGTTTTCATTATTATTGTCAACAAGCTTACGCCGCTGGCTGTCGCCCAGCCACTCCGCCATGAATTTTTACAAATACGAGAGCAATTTGATTTGCCGGTTTGTTTTGGCTTCAAGGAAAAGAAATAAAAAGTGAGGCGACGACATTAATGTGATGGAAACATCATAGAGTTATGCGAAAAATCTGTGTATTAGGGTGTACCGATTAAAAATGCGAAAATATCTAATATATGTATACCGAACAAGCTTGAGTAGTCAAGGAGAATTTATTTCGAATCAATGGGTGTTACATGAGCCAATCCTTATCGACAACACTCACAGAGAAGTATACCATGGCAAAATAGACTATTTTGTTTACAGTATTTCCACCTAATAAAAGTACCCATTACCAAATTTACAACTTTCGGTTCGCCGCTGTTAGTCATTACTTAGTAATGAGTGAGGTAAATCTTTTATTTTGTAATTTTTTTCCAAACTTCTGATAATGAAAAAGGTAGTTTGTTTAAATAACCCTGTAATTGGTTATTCTGCTCATATGTTGGACTGACAAATTTCTACGGGACTTTAAAATTTGTATTTTTGGGAAATTTCCAATATATACAAAAAATCCTGAAATGTAATTTTTATACTATTATACCCTCCACAATTCTATGAAGGGTATATTAACTTTGTTACTCCATTAGTAACTCCTCGAAAAAATCATGTTAGACCCTACAAAGCATATATATTTTGGACCAGCGTAAAATTCGAAGTCGATTTAGCGATGTCCGTTTGCCCGTTATAATCACCCTATCCTTCGGACGAATCGAGATAGAATAATTTTGTTTTTGCCAATAGGCAAGTTAAGTTAGTAATTGGGTCACGTCGATCCCCGTTTTCGTATAGTCCTCATATAACGGTACCTTCCTGATATTTGGTATTTTAAGGATTTTAACGATTCACCGGAATCAAATTTCGTATTTGACGTTGGTAATAAGTACTACAACCTACAACAGAAAATTGTCTATGCAGGCCCACGTCTTCGTATAGTCCACATATAACAGTACCTCCGTTTATTCGATATTTTGCTTATTTTAGCGACATTAGTCTTCCGAATTGTTTCAAATAAGACTGAAAAGTGTGTATGCAGGTCCACTTCTTTGTATAGCCCCCTATATAACGGCGCCTCCCGATATTCGGTATTTTGATGATATTGAAAGCATTATTCGCCAGAATTGTTTTGAATTACTTATGCAGGTCCACGTCTTCGAATAGCACCCATATAACGGTTCCATGTAAGCGGTATTTTTCGGCGAAACATTTTTGACATTTTTCATTTTTTTTTTTTGCACTTGTTATAATTTAATTATTGTTACAAACATTGCTAATCTCAATAACCTTAAGTTTGCTCGTTTTTACTCACGAGTAAAGCATACTCGGGAGTGTTCAAAGTGCAACATTTTTTTACACGAAGCTTACTCTACAGGCTTTTCTTTTATGTGGAAGCATTCACGAGTTACTGCTGTTTCAAAAATAACATTAGGAGTCAAAATAAAGTAAACGTTTACTCTTCTATATTTTTTTTTCTGTGTGAAGTGTTTAATAGGT